TGCATCAATTTATTGAAAGATTTCAATTTGTCTTCCATTAGCTTCTGGAGCCTTGTTTTTTGCCAATGCCTTCAGTGCACCTTGAACTTCTTCCTTTAGTGTCATTGACTTTTGATCATGTGCTACCTTTTGAAATTGTTGAATATTGACTGTCTTTTTGGTACAGTGACTGTGTTTTCCATCATCTTTTTTCTTTCCTGATTTCTGCATCATTCAGTATTTTTTCCCATGTTGTTGAGTTATATGCTGAGTCAGTTCCAACCCATAACAACCCTCTATAGTGTTTCCAAGGAGTGACTGGTGAGCTTGAACTGCCAGCGTTGCAGTTCAAATTGACTTTGAAGTCCATTGCATTAACTCACAGAACCAACTAACTATTTCTTCTTGGTACAGTGACTCCTTGTATTCCTTCTATCGTTTTTGGATGCTTTCTGCTTCATTCTGTAATTTTGCCCATAGAATCCTTCAATATTTCAAGTTTAGGCTTGAATTTTTTCTTTAGTTCTTTGAGCTTGAGTGTGTTCTTCCCTTTTGGTTTTCTAACTACAAATCTTTGCACATTTCATTATAATAATGACTTTTTCTTCTAGAGCTAACCTTTGAATTTTCTTTCAGCTCATTAACTCTTCATTTCTTATATTTGCTTTAGCATCTCTATGCTGGAGAGCAAGTTCAGAATCTCTTCGGACACCCATTTTGGTCATCTTCTCTTTTGTCTTTTTAATGACTCTCTTCTTATATGATGTTCTTGATGTCCTTTCACAACTCTGCTGGTCTTAAATTGTTAGTGTGTAATTCATCAAATCCATTGTTGAGATGATCTCTAGATGCAGGTGGGGTGTGCTCAAGGTCATGTTTTAGCTCTCGTGGATTTGTTTTAATATCCTTCAGCTTTATCCTGAATTTTGATGGTATGTTTCGCAGTCTTTGCCTAACCTTTCTTTGGCTGATGATCTAGAGCTTTTCTACTGTCTCTTCCCACAGATGAAGTCAGTTTGATTTCGTGTAGTCTATCTGCCAAGGTTCATGTGTATAGTCATCTTTTATGGTGTTTAAAAAGGCATTTGCAATGAAGTCATTGGTCTTTCAAAATTCTTTCATCATCCAGCATCATTTCTATCACCAAGGTCGCATGTTTTTAAGTACTGATCCTTCCTCTGTTTCCAATCTTTGCATTCCAATACCAGTAATAATAAATCTGGAAATATTCTTTTAAAAATGAATGTGACAATTTGTCATTTCCAACATAGTAAACTATGTTATCAGATAAAAAAGGGCTAATATCAGTCCAGTTTAGCTCATTAATGCGTAGGATATCAATTTTTATGTGCTCCATTTCATTTTTGACAATTTTAAATTTTGCTAGATTCATCTTTTGTACATTCCATGTTCAGATGATTAATGGATCTTTTCAGTGGTTTCTCCTGATTTTGAGTTGTTCCACATCAGCAAGTGAAGGTCCTGAAAATCTTACTCCATTTGCATTATCATGGTCAGCTCTACTTTGAGGAGGCAGCTCTTCCCCAGTCATATTTTGAGTGCCTGCCAACCTGAGGGGCTCATCTTGTACTATATCTGACAGTGTTGTGCTGCTGTTCATAAGGTTTTCAGTGGCTAAACATTTAGAGGTAGTCTGCCTCTACTTCTTCTAGTCTGTCTTAGTCCGGAACTTCAGCTGAAACCTATTCACCATGAGTGACTCTGCTGATATTTAAAATACTGGTGGCGTAGCTCCCAGCATCACAGTAACATGCAGGCCACTACCATACGACAGACTGACAGATGAATGGTTGTTGTTGTTGTTAAGTGCTGTTGAGTCGGTTCTGACCGATAGCCACTCTGTGTAGTAGGGTTTCCGAGAAGCAGTTGGTGAGTTTGAACCTCCAACCTTGCAGTTCAAACAGCTTTGCAGTCTGGCGCATTAACCCACAGCGCCACACCAGGACTGCAGATGAATGGTGGTATCCAGTAAATGGTAGTCCTGGTGTGGCACTATCGAATAATCACTTGACCATTAGGTCTGTTTGAACTGCAAGAGTGCCAGACCAAACTCATTAGCTGCTCCTTGGAAACCCTTTAAGGGGATGTCTTGAGTCAGAACTGACTGGACAGCACTTAACAACAACTTGTGTGAGACACTATACTAGGATCTGGGGATATAATAGCAAGGCTAATATGCAGTTTACAGACACCAGCATTTAGCAGGTGGTTTAGAGTAGAGAGTCTTGGTGGTGCAGTGGTTAAGTGCTCAGCTGCTAACTGAAAGGTCAATGGCTTGAAGCTACCAGCTGCTGCATGGTAGAAAGATGTGTGTGGTGGTTTGCTTCCCTAAGAATTTCAGCCTTAAAAATCCTATTGTGCAGTTGTATTTTCCCCTATGCAGTGGATATAGACTAGTAAGGAGTTCCTGAGTGGCACAAACACTTGACAACTAACCGAAAAGATGGCAGTTCAAAGCCACTCAGAGATGTCTTGGAAGACAGGCTTGGCAGTCATTTTCTGAAAGATCATAGTCTTGAAAATCCTATGGAGCAGTTCTATTGTGTACACATAGAATCATCATGAGGCGGAATTGGCTCAATGGCAACTAACAGCATGTACTATGTGAGCTACAAAAAGGTGCTTACAGTACATTAAGTCTCATTGTACTATGAGCACAGAGGAAGGATCACTGACTCAAGACAGGACAGCTTCTCCAAGGAAATGACCTCTAATCTGAGATGGTAAAACCTGGCCAAAATAATAGTGGTGTTGTGAAAGAAGAGATATTTTCCTATTTATTCCAGTATAGTTTTATCCTTATTGCTTATAAAGACCCTAAACTCTCTCTATACATTTATAATCAAGAAACAAATTTTCTGTGACTAAGAGATACCAAGGATGCATACCTACTATGTGATGAAAAAGAATCCCATTGCAATCTCCTTATAATTTGGCAAGCTAGATAGATGTTTAGTAAATTTGTCCAAAAGAGCTTGGTTTGTAGTTGTCAATATTAACAGGTTTTTCTCTTTTAAAAAATACATTATTATGGTTGTCACAAGTCTTGTGTTCCAGTGTTTTAGTGTAATATTATTATCTGTTTTATTTATATTTTTATTGTTTTCCACAAATGTTCAAAAACCGTTTCCTTAGGAAAGCTTATTCTTTTTAAGAGCAATAGCTCCTACAGTGAAAGTGTAAGCTCTAGTAATAAAAACTAATACAAGATAATGCAGGAGTGATAGCTAAAGGAGGTAGTGAACTGTCTTTGCCTTGTCTTTGGAAAACTAGAATTTTCTTTTGATAAGAGAATGGTGTCTCCTCTTGTCTTTGGAAAACTTGAATTTTCTTTTGATAAGAGAATGGTGTCTCCTCTTGGGCATTTTTTTTTCTCCCCTAAACAAATAAGTAGATTGGAGTGCTAACAACTTTAGGAGTTTTCTAGTTGAAATGCTGTGAGGATTCATGCAACTTGGACTATTCTCTGACTCCTCCTCCTTTAGTTCTTCCATTTCCCTGTGTCTACATAAGTTATCTACTTCACTGTAATGCTTTTGTGGTTCAAAGTCACATGAAGTGTCAATTTAAAGAGAGAAAAGGAAAGAAACCTATTCAATAGAATTGTAAAATAGTTACAATTTATTATAAAATTTTGTAAAATTTGAAAACAAACGTATTTTCCTCCCTAAATTTCCCAAAGTGGAATTTAGGGAGAAAGACAAATTTTGTGATTCACTAGTTGGTATTGTTGTTGACTCATAGAGACCCTATATAGGGTTTCTGAAGAGCAGCTGGTGGTTTTGAACTGCCAACCTTGTGGATAGTAATCAAGTGCTTATCCTACAGTGTCACAGCAGGAGTCTGAATGATTAGTAGACCCAAGTTAAGAGTTCACCTGTTTCTTCTGAATGTCTGTTAATGTGTGTAATGCATTAGGCAAGTGGTGAACTAGGTTACAGTTCATGAAAGTGCTATGCTATATTTTTTATTTGATTTTAAAATTCCCACAGTATCAGCCATGTGACTATTAACATTTTATCTAAGAATTCACATTTTGAAAACTTATCTGTTGTTCTTCAGAGGATGATTTGATAGTTTATAGATCTTAAAATACTGTTCCAAATGATAGTGTTCAAAATATATTTGTCTATAAGCAAACTCTTGCTTTTTTTTCTTATTGATTTTTCTCTGGAAGGTGAAAAATGTCTTTTATTGTGCTCTTCTTTTTTTAGGTTCATTGTAGGGAAGGAAGAAATTCCCATACATTCTTATTCACCAGAGGCAGCATATACAAAAGTGGAACAAAGGAGTGAGAAGCATGAGGAAAAATCAAGAAGAATGAATATAATTGCTCTAGTCAGGAAACTTGTGGATTCAGTGTGAGTTCTTTGTCTTAATATTTTAGGTAGTTTGTCATGGCTTTGTATAATATTAGGACGGTTCCAATATATTTTTAGGGACTTTGTTTTCTATGTAGGTAATAATAAAAATTGACAAAAGTTTTAGAAAGGCACATAATAGCAATTGAATGCTATTTATTATTTCTGGTAACACTAAAAAGAGCACTAGACTATAAGATTCCTTTAAAATAGATTTGCATGCAATACAAATATTTTTCTCTTTCAAACTAGACAGAGTTACAGGAGTCTAGGATCAGGAACATCAGGAACAGATAAACTGTACTAATTGAATATGCCAAATATGGGAAGGAGAAAGAAAAGCTCCAGAGATTTATTCAAGAGGATAAGAGAATAATACGGAGCATACCTTAAGTAAGGAATATTTTGCAAGAGTGACAATTTTCAGGACTTTTGGAAGTTTAATAAAAGTATTTGTGTATTACACAAGGAAGTCTTGTCTTTATATTTTGTAACAAACACGTGCTCATTTGTATTGCCATTGTTGAGTTTTAAGAAGTCAATGTAGTGGTTTAAAATTAGAGCTCCAGTCAGTAAAAATAATCTTTTAAGTGATATTTTGGAGTGGGTAGATGGAGTAGGGAGTATAGAAAGTTGTTGGTGGTTATGTGCCATGGAGTCGGTTCTGACTCATAGCGACCCTGTGTAGGATTTCTGAGGCTGCAAATCTTTATGGGAGCAGAAAGCCTCATCTGTCTCCCATGGAACAGCTGGTAGTTTTGAACTGCTGACCTTAAGGTTTACAGCCCGAGTTGTAACCACTACGCTGTCAAAGTTAGAGCATCAGTTATAGAAGGCTGAAGTCCTTTGAGAAATCAGAAGATCTCCCTGTTTGACTCTTTCATTTTGCCCCAACCAGCTTTCTGATTTTGGGCAATTCTTTTAACCACTTTGCCTCCCAAAGTCATCATCTGTTAACTTGGGTTATTAATTGGGTTTATTAAAGATTTTTTGAGTATCAGTTGACATAGCATGTGAAATATCATGGCAGTTTCTGACTACGTGAATATTCACGTTTTTGCAGAATATAAAGACTTTGTCTTCATCTGAGTATATACCACACACAGAAAGTGAGAAGGAAAAAAGGAATAGATGTGGTAGGAATAGCTACAGCAGTGAACTTACTTAGTAAGTCAAGTTCAGGTATAGTTATGGGTGACCTTAGTAGGGGGAAAGGAGAGATGGAGGCTGGGAAATACCACCATTAATGGAAATGATGTCAACAACAAAAAGGAGGGGAATGCAGAGTATTATGTTGGTGAGTGATACGTTGGGTGTCAGAATTGATGAAGCCAAGATAGAGCTCATCCGAGTAACCTCTGTGTGTCCACTGGTAAGAAAGCAGGCTCAAGATAGTACAGAAGCAAAGTAAATAATACAGGGCTGTCTGATATTTGGGAAGTAATTTTAATGACAGAATAAGGAAAGATTAAGTGGTTCAACAGTACAGTGGATAAAAAGAATTTGACCTCACTAGTAAGTAGAGTTGGTGCTATTGTGTGCTGTCAAGTTGGTTCCAGCTCTTTGTGACCCCATACAGAATTTCTAAGGAGCAGCTAGTGGGTTTGAACCACCGACCATGTAGTTAACAGTCCAGTGCTTATCCTACAGCCCAAGTAGAGTAGGAGAGTTTAATGATTTCTGCTTAATTTTGCTAATAATGGCAGAGAAATATCTTTGGAGAGGACACTTAGAAGTATGAAGAGCCATGGCTTGCATGAGGCAATTCCCTTTTAGGTTCCCGACTTTAATCTCTCAACAGTTTCACACAACTCAATGCACCATGTCATTCTGATGACGGAAAGTCTGTGGTAGGTACAAACTGTTGCTGTCACCATTGACTAGGAAAGGTTGCCTGTCTAGTTGAGCAGTGAAGAATTGAATTTGTGAGAAGGTCTTGCTATTCAGTTTGCAAATAGAATTGGAATAGTGCAAAGCCAAAACATAGCATGACGTTATTGTTATAAACAGTAAAAAGTTCATGTGTTCCAAGCATGAAAAAAAATTCATTGCAGTCTAAAAGAGGTCATAAAGACTATTTTGAAACATGAATCCTTCCAAGAGAAAGGGGTAAGCCCAACTCACCTAGGTTATCCTCTTTTTATGCATAAGAGGAATAAATAGTCCTGGAGTTGTCATATTAAATAATTAAAATTAAGTATGTCTTAGACAATAGTGCTTCCAGCAGAAATGTTTATTAAACCCTAGAGGGTTAAGTGGTTTACATACAAATCACACACAAAAAATCTACTTTTGAATTCTCAAATGATTTCTTTCTTTCTTTTTTAAAAGTGAATTTTGAATTCTAATACTATATCACGTTTCTTTTCCATGTGTTTTCTCTCAAATATAATTAAGTATAAATTCCTGTAACCTGAGAACATTGTCATTATGATTTTTGCTCTAGTACTGACTTCATGCATGATTTATGACTGTAACACTCTATAACAAGGTATTTAAAGCTTTCAAAAAACTTGGCAGAGTAGCTAGAAAATATATACATATTTTTCATCTTTAGTCATGAATACTTAACCAATACGATTTTTCTATTCTACACTCAAGTTTTATACATTCACATGTTTGATACAATGTGTTAAATGATGAGCAACAAAGAAAAAACAAAAATATGTCTGTCATCCTCACACCTTTGTATGCCTTAAGAAACCAAAAGATGTACACAATCAGAAATGAATCTGTGATATTATTCTCCTTTTTGGTTAGAGAGTCTTAAATAGATTTACACACACATACACACACGTTTTAATTATGTTATTTTTAAGTGCTGTCAAGCCAGTTCCAATTCATAGCAAGTCTGTATAGGATTTTCGAGGCATGGCTGGTGGGTTTGAACTGCCAACCTTGTGGCTCAGACTGACCTTGTGCATTTTCCTGCAGCACCACACCAGGACTCCTTTCATTGTAATTGCCTTTTGTTGCGATTTAATTTCAGATGTAAGCATGGACCAAGACATAGATGTTGCAAACACTACGGAGATAATTGCATCTCTTATTGCATTAAAGTAAGTAAAGTACCCACTTTCTAAACAATGGGAGTATCTAGAGAAATAACTTATTTATTGAAAAATAATTTCAATGTAAATGGAAACGTTGAAATTAACAATTGATATAATTCTTATTATTTTACTTGAATACACATCTTGTGGCAACCAGGTAACAATTTAGGTTTTAATATTCAGTTACCAGATCCTTAATGAGATAATTTTTAAATTATACTTTCAGGTAGGAAAGACGATGGGTTCTCTCTCTCTCTCTTACACACACGCACACACACAGAACAATCGTCATTAAACTTTGCCCTGTGTGCTGTGTTTTCATTAGAGTTCTATCCTAGAACCAGGCCCCTGGAATGTGCTGGATCAGCAGTCACACACATACACTCTACACAGTTAGGTCCAGTGGCATTTGATGTGGGACTTGTAAAGGTGTTACATTTTTTAAGACATCGTGGTAACTGGAGCTTATCCACAGTTGCTCTGTGTTGAGAAAATTATTGTGGCTAGTTTGTCTCTCCCTACTCAGCTTCACCTCTCTCCCCTGCACCCCTCCTTTTCCACACACACACATATTGTCGCCAACTTTGGGAGGAGGTTATTTTCATTACAGTTAGCTAGGCACCAGCAGCACTGCCTGTTGCAAGTTCCTTAATTGTGGATGGTGCCTTAACAATTCTGTTATTTTTAAGAGTTTATGCTCTTGCAAACTCTGATAAAAGGAATATAGTTGTTCAGCACCCCAAGAGACGACCTCTTTATAGTCAGTCTAGAAGGCATGGACTATTCCTTGTTAGTGCTTCTGAACGTGAATACCTAGGGCCCATAGTTGATGGTGGCATTCATCCAAGGTAACATCTTTAGAATCCTCAGTGATATATAACCAGGAGTAAAAGCAGTGGAGTATTTTTGCAGTCATGCAGTGGTTTCTGATACACACCCTCCAAATCTGATTTCCTGCTCCACTTTTAAAATGGTGGAAAAAAAGCAACATTGCTGGCAGCTTCTGAGTCTGCTGGCTCCTGGAGAGTAATTATTCCCTCCAGCTGAACATGATTCAAGTTCAAGGGGAAACTTCAAGAGGGAAACTAAGAGAAGTAGTCCGATTAAATCAGAGGTATTTGAGAATTTGTTTTATTTTTGGGTAGGTGATATTAAAAGAAAATCATATGGTAAAGTTAGAATTACTGAGTAATGAAAAATATAGCAGTAGTGTTAAACTAAGTAATTTATGTAAAAATTGAAATATTATCTCAATGATAATATTTGGAGCCCTGTGGGTGAGGAATTCACATAAAAAGTACAGTAAAAATTTTCAGACAGTGTACCTCATTATTCCATGTACTCAGTTACACCACATGTGAAATTACAACTCTGAGTAAATATCCATATTAATCACATTCTTCTCAACTCATTATACTCCAGTCACACTAAGTTTTTGTTGAGTCCCAGTCCCTGCCAATTTGGTGTTTGGTTTTTGTTTGTGCTTTGTGCTTTCCGTCTAAATTGTATGGAATCCTTTTCTCTGTCTCCTTTTTGGGACTGTCTGAAGCCTTCCCTTACCACTCAGTCTAATCTAGGTTGCTCTGTTATTTCTCTCCTAGTGTCCTGAGTGTTTCTTTCATAATGCTTACTATAATCTATCACTGTTGTACCTGTTTATTTCCGATTCCCTTCAACAAGTGTGAAAGCAAGAACTTTATGTCTTCTCTCCCTTTGTATCTCCAGGATCTAGTATGCCTGACACATAATTGATAGCCAGCACATAGTTCCTGAATATATGAAAGAGTGAATGGATGGAGGGATGAATGGACAATAGCATAAAAAGATCGTAAAATGTGCAGTTTTTGAATCCTTGGACTAGTATTTTAAGGTTATCTATGAAGCTGTTTGAACTACAAGGTCGTTGGTTCAGGCTTACCAGCTGCTCCTTGGAAACCCTAGACAGGGTCGCTATGAGTCGGAATCGACTTGACGGCACTTAACAACAAAAATAACAATGTCACTATAAAAGCATGAATGTTGTTGTTGTTATGTGTCGTGGAGTCAGTTCTGACTTATAGCGACCCTGTACAGGGTTTTTGAGGCTGTAAATCTTTATGGGAGCAGAAAGCCTCATCTTTCTCCCGCGGAATAGCTGGTAGTTTCGAACTGCTGACCGTGAGGTTCACAGCCTGATTCGTAGCCACTGCGCTACCAGAGCTTCTTAAAAGCATGAATACTTGGCTGTTTTAGGCAATTCTAGACCGTTTCAGTTAAGCAAACACTTGTGAGTTCAAACTAATTGATTCCTCCCAAACCTACCACCATCAGTTAGACAATTCAATACTCATATTTTAGCCAGATAATAGGAAGTTTCAGATAAATTAATGACTGCTGGTTGTTATGTGCCATTGAGTCGGTTCTGACTCAGCAGCCCTGTATAGGATTTCCAAGGCTTCAAGTCTTTACAGAAGAAAAAAGCCTCATCTTCCTAGTAATTCAATTAACACAAATAAATAGAGCTACTCTCTGAAACTGCAGACCTGACCTTGAGAACTTATTAGGCACGCAAGTTAAGAGTATAAACATTTTCCCGTTCTAATAGGGGTGGTAAAGGAGCTCTGGTAACATAGTGGTTATGAGTCAGTCAGCAGTTTGAAACTACCAGCGGGTCCACAATTGAAAGATGAGGCTTTCTGCTCCTGTAAAGATTTACAGCCCTGGAAACCCTTTGCAGGGTCGCTATGAGTCGGAATCGACTCCACGGCACACCACCACCACCAGTGGGGGTGGGAGACCTGTATTACAATATTGTTGTTGTTGTTTTTAAGTGCCATCGAGTCAGTTCCGACCCATAGTGACCCTGTCTAGGGTTTCCGAGGAGCAGCTGGTGAGCTTGTACTGCAGACCTTGTAGTTCACAATACATTGGTTGAATTACACACAAAGTATTATTCCTTTTGTTAGTGTTTTGTTTTGTGCTAATTGGCATCTTTAGACTCTTAAGTATTAAGTGACATCCAAATTTTGTTTTCTTAAAATTGGCCAACATTAGTTATCCTTCCCAGATAGTTCCCTGTTGCACTATAAAAAGTTGCAGGAAATCTGGGAAATGTTGGCAGCAAATATGGATTAGTAATAGATTTGTTTTCTCAAGTTTTGTTGGTTTATCTTAAAGCTACCATTCCCTTGTGGGTTTTTGTTGTTGGTTTTTAGCATGATACAATTGAGCACAAAAATTAAAACCAGATATTAGTAATTATATTTCTGGGGAATTCTTTTAATCTTATCATTTTTTAAAGGTTTTGGTACCAAAGATCTAAACAAATAATAGAGCAGATTTTCTGTCAACAGCATCCCTACTCATACTAATAATTAAGAACAGTTTTCTGTCAAAATTTCCAAAAGCATTCAGTTTTGTTAACTGCTTTTTATTTTTGGTTTTCAATGCTTTTGTTTCTGAAGCTCATTTGTGGTTTAGAAATTTAGAATCCTGATTGTTTTCAACAGAAGTGTCAATAAATGCAGTTGTGTTGCATAGGCAAGCCTGGCCAGTGCCTGTGAGACATTTTAATTCTATGTAAATCATAGAAAGTGTACTCACTCCGAGATTTCACCCTTATGTGTAAGGTAATTGTTTTAAAATTTTGTTGGAGGTTATAAGAGTTAATTTTGAAAATGCCTATGATACAAACATATTAACATTTTTTGACTCTTGTGTTGATTTTGAGATGGTAAGATTCATATGGTATCATACTTCAAAATTTTGTTGTAAATCAGATTTTCCTCCCATTTTCCTCTAGGGTTTCATCAGAATGTTTAGCGTGGGGTACTTGATCCAGTGCTGCCTCCGAATCCCTTCTGCATTTAGGCATCTGTTTACACAGCCATCCCGACTCTTCTCTCTCTTCTATAATAAAGAAAACTTCCAGCTTGGAGCTTTTCTGGGCTCTTTTGTTAGTATATACAAGGTAGGTTTTTTTGAAGAGGAAAGAAAAATGGGAATTACATACTGTGGTGGTTGTTAAGAAAAAATTCAGCCTTAACTCATCTATGAATTTTTTAAATGCTCTTTCCTAAATTACTTTTAACTATACCTTGACATTGCCATGTACACACAGTATTGGGACTTGAGGTTGTATGATTTTCTTCTTTTAAAATGTTATGTAATAATCTTGAATGTATAGGCATATTTGATTTTATACTATGATATTAAATATTATCAAAGAGTTATTTTTTCTTAGAAAAATATGAATTTTCTGATTTTATAATATCAAAATTGATATTGATATGCCTGGTGTCTCTTTCTCTTCATTCCATTTACTGCTTGGTTAGTAATTTTAAAATAGTTTTGACCCTTCTAACTGTTAGCAGCCAGCAAGATTAAGAGAACCAGCAAGAATTTTCTGTTTTAACGTACATAAGCAATGACTTATTTTCCTACTTTCACTCACTCACTGTTCCCAGCACAGTCTTCCAAATACCCAGAGTTAACATACCTCCACCCTTTTCTGCACATTCCTGTAAGTGTGCCCACCCATCTATAAGCACATATCTAAATAATAACCTTTTGATTAGTCATTAAAGTTAATTACTAATGGGAAAATCATATTACTAACTTATTTCATTAAAAATCTAAAATAAAGTTTTTAAATATGTTAACAATGGTTGACTTGTATGCATTTAAAAATATTATTATTACTGGTTAAACTGAAAGAAAATAAAAGAATGTTGAGTAAATGGTAAATTGAGTTCTGGATTAAAATGGTCATGTGTCATATTATGTAAAAGTTTACTTATAAAAAGCAGGTATGGAGCAAGATAGTTAATTATTTGTTATCAAACATACTCATATTAAAACAATCTCAGTATGATTTGATTAGGAAGCATTACTAATAGTTTTGAATATACAAGAATTAATTGGATAGGGTATTGGTTATTATGGCTGTGTTCACATTCTTTTTCATTTTTTACATCATAGTGTTTGTATTTATTTTTAACATAATTATTTGCATGTGGATTATTTCCAACATTTTGATCTCAGGTTCATTATTCTCCACAATTCAGCCCCTATCAGAGCATGGTTTTGTTTTTTTTTTCTCTTTCTTTGCATTTCAATGACTGTTTGCTTAGGTAAATGCGAACTAAGGGTATCACAAATCAGTCAGAAACTCCCTTTATACAGTGTGATCCAAAGTTCAGTCATATGTGATTTAAAAACTAAGATGGAAAAAGACCCATGCTCTTGTTAGTTCCCAGTCTAGTCAGTTCCGAGTCTTAGTGACTCCATGTGTGTAGCCTTAATGGGAGGAGGTCACAGACCTTTCCTTTCACAGGGCTGGGGTATGCTTGTCTTCTGTTGTGGCTTAAAGTTTTAGGTTAGCAGTTGAGTGCAAACAAGGGCCTTATCCATGCAATTAGCATTTTAGTTGAAATGGAATGAAGTGAGGGGCAGGCAAGTAAATCTCCGTTCTTCTGTGCATTCTTGCTAAACTGACCCTTTTTTCATTTTGAAAAGTTTCACTGATAGTAATATAGTTAGTATAGTTTTCTTTTGGTTTGTATTTGATGGTGTATTGTTTTCATGCTTTTCCTTTTAAGCTTTAATCGGAATACCCACACCCGGTGAGCCCCTTTGGAGTGGATCGTTGCCCTCTAGTTTTGTTGTAGGTTTCCTTCCCTGCTTTGTGAGTTCTGCTTATATCTGAACTGGCTGGTACTCAGGGGAAGCACAGAAAGACTTTCCTCCATTTCAGGAGCATGAGGCGCTCCCCAGAAGAATCTTTAAGAAGTCTCTCTGTTGTTTCAGAGCCACAGTGGGCCCGTCTCTCCATTTAGTGACCCTCTTTTAGGGATTCTCCTAACTCCATTGTAGGGGTTCTGCTTTAGGAGTTCCTATTGGTCTTGTGCTTACGAATCAAGCTGTGACCTTCAGGGACAGTAGTTCAAAACTACCAAAAAGACAATATGCAGTAAGAAGGAGTTTAGCATAAGAAGATCAAGGCAAAGGAAGACCCTGGACGGAACACAAGCGATTAAGGCACCAAAGGTAAATTCTGTTATATACCTACTCCTGCAATAACAGTAATAACTATATCCTATGAGTGGATACAAGGAGCTCTGGTAGCGTAGTCGTTATGAATCGGGCTGTGAACTGCAAAGTCAGCAGTTCGAAACTACCAGCTCTCCCGCGGGAGAAAGATGAGGCTTTCTGCTCTCATAAAGATTTACAGCCTTGAAAACCCTGTACAGGGTTGCTGTGAGTCGGAACCGACATCATGGCACATAACAATAACAACAAATTGGTCTTGTAGCCAGTTACTGGTTGATGTAAGGGTAATCACCCTTCAAATGGAGGTCTTGTTTTGTGATATTGCCTGTGGGTGTCATTTGCAAGTCTATTGTGAGTTACTAGGGAAAGCCCATATAGTATAGTCTGCTCTCCCAATCAACTCTTTCCCACATCTCTGCATAGCCTGTAACTCAGGCCTCTGAAACACAACAGGACAGACCTCCAAGGGAGTCAATTCTGGTTTCTCTGTTCTCACTTCATTCAAGAAGCCTGACAGACAACAGCCTTAGTCAGCAGTCCTCAGCAGTATCTCTAAGGGAAAGCAGACAATCAGACTGATACCCAGGGAGGTCTGTCCTGAGCTAATGGAATATATGGTGGGGGGCAGGTGAATTGCTGACTATGGTTGCAACTTCACTGTGAAGTCTTTTATAAAAGTTTGCAACAGCCTGGCAGTCAACAATGACCAGGTTATGTGTGGGGGGGAGGATTGTGTATCATATTCTGGTTAGGTCTATGGAGATTTGCCTTGTTGCTATGAGAGGTACTCTGGTAGATTGTTAACTATGAGTGCAGCCTCAGTCATCAAGTCTTGGTGCCAACTAGTAGTGGGGGTAGACTAACACTAATCGACTCCCAGAGAAGTTTATCCTGTTAGTTTCAGAGTCTAGAGCTGTAGAGTGCACAAGGAGGCAGGGAGAATGCTGACTGCTGGACCACACTCAACTGTAGGGCCCTTAAGTAGCAATTTACAGCAGACTTGTAAGTGACAGTGTGTCAGCTGGGGAGGGACTGGTCTCCAGGGGTGTCAGCCTTGTTATCAGAGCCCTGCCAGTTGGCTTTATCCTCCAATAAAGATGCCTGCACACAGCAGCCTCAGTCAGCAGTCCTCAGCACCATCCTAGAGGGGGAGCACACAGACCTGAATTGACTCCCTGATGTGTTTATCCTGTTGTTTCCAGAGGCCAGGGAGATCAGTACAGTGTTGACTATGAGAAAAGACTCCACTGCATGGGCCTTTTGCAGCAATTCTCAACATACTTAACAACCGATCATGTCTGGGCAGAGGAGGTGCTGGCATACTGTATATGGATCGCTGTGGAGGTCTGCCGTGTTGATTTTAGGGCAGAAGCTTGGGATCTTGTCTGTTTATATAGGCAGGCACTGTGGTGGCTATGGGGGAAACAAGCAGGTTCTTTTTCTGAGGCCGTTACCTCAATGCACAGCAACTGGCAGCCCACATGACTGGGATGGGGCAGGGAGCAATTTTCCTACTGTATGTGACTTGTTGATTGGTTGATTATTTTTATGTGGACGTGATTTGGATGAAAGTTTACAAAGCCAGTTGGTTTTCCATTCAATATTTCATACAAATTTTGTTTTGTGACATTGATTACATTTTCCACAATGTAATTGCACTCTTCCTACTTCCTCCTGTGTGCACCATTTCCCTAAAGCCTTCTAAGCTTTATCCCTGTGCAAATGCTGCCCTTATAATCTTGTATGGTTGGTTGTTCTACAGAGTGGCTACCTCCCTGGTGGTGGTGTTCTTCTTATAGACCAATCTGTTGTTTGACTGAAAGTTGAGCCATGGGGTGAATGTAGTTCTATGATTAAAGGCGATCCAAAAGCTGTAATCTCAGCAATTTCATCAGTCTCTTTCAGACCAGTAAGTTTGCTCATTTTCATGGTTTTGAAGTTGGTTCCATATTTTTCTCCCTATCTATCTAGGACCTCTTATTGTGATGCCTTTCAGAGTGGTCAGCAGTGGTAGCCAGGCACCATCTAGTTCTTCTGGTCTCAGTCATGGAGTCTGGGGTTCATGTGGTATGTGATGCATTGGCCCTTTGAACTAACTGTTTATTTGCCTCTTTGATTTTCATTATTCTTCTTTGCACCGGACACAGAGAGACCAATAGGTGCTCCTTACATGACTGCTCAGACACTTCTAAGACCCCAGTTCTACTCACCAAAGTAGAATATAGAACATTATCTTTGTGTATTATGTTCTGGCAATTGACATTGGTGTCCCTCAAGATTATGATCCTAAGACCACAGGCTCTGGAACTCATTCCCTCAATCTGTTTGGTTATAGTTAAGACATTTTCGTAACTTTGTCCTTTATATGTTCTGCTATATTCATGGATATATTTGCATTATGTGTGAATACAGTAGAAATTGTTAAGTAGTGTTGAGTCATTTTCCTGTATAGGATTTCTGAGGAGTGACTGGTGCTTTTGATCCACCAACTTTGCAGTTAGCATTCCAGTTCTTATCCTACAATGCCACACCAGAAATACCCTCTGTTGTAGTTGTAGTCCTGGCAATGCTGTAGGATAAATAGAGATTGGAAGTTCAAACCCACCAGCTGCTCTGTGAAGAAAAATGAGGCTTTCTGCTACCATAAAGATTCCCTTGGAATTCCTATAGGGTTGCTATGAGTCAGAATCAACTCAGTAGCAGTGAGTTGGTTGGAGTGTAGTCCTGTCCTCTTTCCATACATGTTCAGCTGACATGTCTATCTGTGTATCCACTCATGGTGGTGGTGGCTGTGTGCTGTGGAGTTGGTTCCGACGCATAGTGACCCTGTACAGGGTTTCCGAGGCTGTAAATCTTTACGGGAGCAGACTCCTCATCTTTTTCCCACGGAAGAGCTGGTAGTTTCGAACTGCTGACCTTGCAGTTCCCAGCCTGATTCATAAGGACTACACTACCAGAGCTCCTTATGTCCACTTACCACATTGTAAATATATATTCCTTTAAATGTCCAAAGGCCACACTTTGCAAGCCAGCCTCCTGCCCTCAGGTACACTGCTTTTCTCAGTCCATGGGCCTATAGTCTTCTGCTGCTGCTCTATTTTTCTGTGCCATCGCCTCAGCCACCATCTCTGTGGTATCACTTTTCTGGTTAGGATCCCTTGCTCCTCTCATGTTCTTCCCTCTTGATGGTCCTGAGGTCCCTTGTTCCTGAAATGACAGATTAACTTTATCCCCCTTTTAGTTGTACCTCTTCTACATTTACAGTTGTGTCACTCACTATTAGACATGAAAAAAATTATTTACAATTGAATCATAAAATCCAATCCCACTCATCACCAGACCCATTTGGACAACAGAGATTGGGAAATGTGAGACCTCCTTTGTTTTTCTTCTTTAGAGTTGGTGATGGTGGTGGTGGTGGTGGTTGTATGTTGTGAGTTGGTTCTGACTTATAGTGACCCTGTATTGGGTTTCTGAGGCTGTAAATCATTATGGGAGCAGAAAGCCTCGTTTTCTCCCTCAAAGCAGCTGGTAGATTTGAAATGCTGACCTTGCAGTTAGCAACCCGGCTCATAATCCACTACGCTGCCAGAACTCCTTGTTCTTCTTTAGTAGTACTCTGCTTATCTGGCTTCTCTTGCATTTTTGTATAAAATCGGTGATTATTTTTTCCATATCTTTCTTGAGTGATGGTGGATTGAGGATTGGGATTATCTGTGCCCATGGTACCTTTTTTCTGGAAGAAGGTAGTAATGATAGTTTTACAAGGTTAAGTCTTTCTATCCATGAACATGGTATATGCTTCCATTTGTGTAGGTCTCTTTCGATTTCTTATAGTAGTGTTTTGTAGTTTTTGTTATAGAGGTATCTCTGTTTAAATTTATTTGTAAGTATTTCATTATTTGGGTAGTTATTATAAATGATATTGTTTTCATGATTTCATTTTTAGGATTTTCTTTGTTAGTCTAGAGGGATCTGACTGACTTTTTATATTGATCCTTGTACTTTGCTGCTTTTGCTGAATCCTTTTAATTCTAGTAATTTTCTTACTGAGTTTTTGTAATTTTCTGTGTGTGGGATCACACCATCTACAAGTACAGGCAGTTTTACTTGCTCTTGGTCAGTTTGGATGATTTTTGTTTCCTTTCTTGCCCTGTTGCTCAGGTTAGGACTTGCAGTACAATAATGAATTGGGAGTTTGGTAAAAGGCATCCTTTTTTAGTTCCCATTTACAAAGGAATGTTTTCTGCCTCTGAGCATTGAGGATAATGTTGGCTGTTTGCTTTGTGTATATGCTTTTAATTTTGTTGAGGAATTTCCCTTTTATTCCTATTTTGTTGAGCAGTTTTTATTAGGAATGGGTATTTTATTTTCTGTTGCCTTTTCTACATCAGTTAATATGATCATGTGGTTCTTTTCTTTAGTTTTCTTTGTATGTTGGATTTCCTAGATTGTTTTTCTAATATTGAACCATCCTTGCATGCCTGACATGAATTTCACTTGGTGATAGTATATCTTTGACATGTTATTGGATTACATTGATTAGAATTTTGATAAGAATTTTTGTGTCCGTGGTCATGAGGGATATTGGTATATAATTTTCTTTTTTTAGTGATATCTTTTCCTGGTTTTGTTAATCAAAGTTATGCTTGCTTTTATGTAATGAGTGTTTGGAAACAGTCTATCCTTCTCTGTATAGTTTCTGTGTTCTTCAGTAGTGTGAGTAAACTTGGCATCAGCTCTTCACTAAATGTTAGGTGGAATTCACCAGTGAAACTGTCTGGACCTGAGCTTTTTTGTTGGAGTTTTTTATATGACCTATTCCGTATCTTTTTTTGTGATGAGTGTGTTCAGATATTCTACCTCAGGTTGGGGTAAGTAGTGTGTTTCTGGAAATTGTTCATTTCTTCTAGGTTTTCAAATTTGATGGGACACTCTTCATAGTATTCCATTATTATCCTTTTTCTTTCAGCTGACTCACCTATTTCATTTGTTGTTCGTGGTATTTGCATCTTCTTTGTTAAATTTGCCAGTGGTTTGTCAATTTTATTAATCCTTTTAAAGAACTAACTTTTAGTCTTAGTTAATTTTTCTTTTATAATTTCCGTTCTTGTGACTGTAGCCTTTTTTTTTCTTGCTGTTCTTTTTTTAATTGCTGGAAATGTTGCATTTAGGTGTTGATTTTGTTCTTCTTTTTTGATGTGTATTTTTATTTTTATAAGGTGTCCTCTGAACAGTGCATTTGTTAAGTGCCATTGAGTAGTTTCCGAGTCATAGTGATCTTGAATAGGGCTTCTGAAGAGTGATTAATGGGTTTAAACCACTGATCTTGCAGGTGACAGTTCAGTGTTTGCTTTACAGCACCACACCAGGACTTATTGACTGTGTCCCCCAAATTTTGGTATGTTTTGTTCTTATGCTTGTTGATTCAAGGCATTTTTTTAGTTCATTTTTGTTTCTTCTATTACCCAATAGTTTTTAATAGAGTATTTTCCATGTCTTTGTATTTTATTAATTTTTTTGATCTTCCTGTTGTTGAATTCAAATTTTATAACATTGTGATCTGAGAATATACTTTGTAGTTTTTCAGTGTTTTAAAATTTTTTAAGGTTTACTTTGTGGTCTAACATATCATCTATTCTGGAAAATGTTCAGGTTCTGTTGGTGGATAGAATGCTGTGTAAGATCTAGTTGGTTGATTGTGTTGTTTAAATCTTCTGTATCGTTGTTTAATTTCTTTCTAGTTGTATTCTTCATTGAAAGTGGTGTATTAAAGTCTTCTTCCATTATTGTGGAGTTGTTGGTTTTTCTTGTCAATTATATTAAAGTTTCATTTATGTATTTTGGGGTTCTTTCATTGGGTGCGTAGATATTTAGTATGGTTATGTTCTCCTGTTGGATTAGCCCTTTAATCATTATTGCAGAAAAAATGTCATCAGCTATTTGTACTGCAGTGCTCACTATTCCTGCTTTATGCTTTGTAGCTTAGGTCACCATTTACAAATGGAAATCTCTGGTTTCATAATTTCAGTGTTACAAGGTGTATTTTACTTTTGATACTTCTATATCTTGGTGATTTCTTGGTGATGTTATTAGTGTCTTAATCTCAGGTTATTGTCTGCCATTGTTGATTCTTTCTGACTGAAGGACTCTGTTAAGCATTTCTTTTAAGCGTGGTCCAGTTTTTATGAATTTCCTTAATTTCTCTTTACCTGGGAATGTCCTAATTTTCCCACCATACTTGAGGAACAGTTTTGCTGGATATATAATTCTTGGTTAGCGGTTGTTTTCTTTCAGTTTCTAATATGTCTTCCCCTGACTTCTTGCCTGTATGGTTTCTGTTGAGAAATCAGCTTAGTCTTATGGGTTCTCTGTGGTAGGTAACTTTATTTTTCCCAAGGCGTTTTAGCAAGTTATTATCTTTGGAAAGTTGGATTATGAGATGTGTTGGTGGTTTTCTTTTAGGGCCTATCCAATTTGGGATTTGTTAAAGGAGCTCTGGTAGTGTAGTGGTTACGAATCGGGCTGCTAACCTCAGGGTCAGCAGTTTGAAACTACCAGCTGTTCCACGGGAGAAAGATGAGGCTTTCTGCTACCGTAAAGATTTACAGCCTCGGAAACCCTGTACAGGGTCACTGAGTCGGAACCGACTCCACGGCACATAACAACAACAACAAGCTTCTTGAATGCCTACCTATCATGTTATCTTTTATGTTAAGTGGTTTTCAGCTGCTGACCTTGTGGTTAGCAGTCCAGTTCTTATTCTACAGCGCCACATTAGGACGCTAGAAGAAAGATAAAGGGACGGGAGAAGCATAGTGGGGCCAGGGAGGTGTGTTTGACTGGTTGCTGAGTGGTTGGGGATGAGCGGATAGGCACGCCTCTGGTCACCAGGAGGTTGTGCAAGGTAAGTGGGAGATCACACCTCTCTGGTTGTTGATCACTGATGGTGGACACTGGTGCAGTCCAGGACAAGCAGAGCCATTATATGGTTCCTGCTTCATCTGGAACATTTCTTGCAATAATTCAAAATTGCCACACTGTGCTGGTTAGTAGTAATTTATTACTTCTTGTTCAGTGTTTTCATTTGGTCTCTTCCTCTCATTGGTATTTGATCCACTTCTTTATCCTTTCCTATGATGCTCTGGTTTCCAGGGTTGTCATTTGTATCTGTTTCACTTGGTTTCTCTAGTTTTTGGTGTAGAAGGTCTGGATAGTGTATTAGCCTAGTTGTTTGTCTTTGATCCTCCTCCTGTTGGTTGATTCTACAGCTCCCTGCTCCTTTTCTCTGCTCTCCTATTGTAGTCCCTTAAAGGCAAGCACTATTCTTTGTATTTCTTGTATTTGTGGGGGAGGGTCAGAACAATGGTTCGCTTATGCTACCATCTTACCAGAACTCCTTACTTACTATTTCTTAATTCAATATGTTAGTTAAGAATGAATTTGCCTCTAAGGTTTGCTAATGGAGCACTCTAATCAGAGTATTAAATTTTTTGTTTTGTTTTGTTTTCATGAATCTCATTTTATAGGTAGATATAAGACAACTAAAGTCATTGTATTTTCTCTTTAATACAGGGTACTAGTTGCTTCCTACGCTGGGCTAGAAACTTGGATGATGAGCTGCATGCTATTATAGCTGGTAAAGGAATTTTTTCTTTCTTTTTGATTTAAAGAATGATTATTATTGTATCAACGGGTAGTAGAAATACCCAGTATCTACATATTTCCCTTTCTGGGTAATAAACTCATTATTGAGACACTATAAACTCACACATTGTGAGTTTGCAAAGTTTAACATATCAAAGTTATCTATCTGACCTGGGTTGGCTATCTGACCTGCTAAAAACTAGAAATCTTAGGGCAGATATTCCAAAGGAACATAAAGACTTGAGAAATTATTCAAATGATTAATAGATGTTTAATTAGATTTCACACAAAAAATTCCACTTTTTATCACTGGCAACATACATGTAATTATATATATATATATGGTAATTTGTAGTGCTATGTAGAGAAATGTGATGATAGCACTAAAAATAATTTGAACTTTTAGGAGAATATGTATATTTCAAATCCTAATTGATAACAATAGTCTTTAAAAATTATTTTTTGGAGAAGAAACAAGATGACAGATCAGGTAGACGTGCAGTGAGGAGCTCCGTCAGCAACAACACAGAATACCGGACCAAGCAGACTCAGGAGATGGTGCCAAAACTCTGAACCACATATAAAGGAATATTTAGAACGTTGGAAGGCTTACAGCTAGGGGAATTTGTAGCAGAAGCAAGAAATCCATTACTTTCTAATCCAAGACGCTTAGCTGCTCCTGGAGCGGCCATCTTGGGTGAATCAAAGCTGGGGAAGGATCAGAGCAGCCACAGATGCCTGACAGAACTGCAGTGGTAAAGGTGTGGACACTTTTTTTTTTTGTATCTGTTCATTGGTCTCTCGCTGGCTGTTCACCTCCATTCAGGTGACTAGAGAGGGTGCCAGAGCGAGTGGATACCCCACCCCCAAGCCCAGAGGCTTCTACTACACATGCGCACGGATCTCGAAAGTTAAAGTTAGTTTCCACTTAAAACCAAAGGGCAGTGCAAAACGGCCACAGCCAACCCTGAACTGTTTATCACTGGGAAAAAGGCCGGAATGGGGATTGTGGAGTGGTACAGGCAGACTAATCAGGAAATATGCCGAAAATTAAATCCTGAGTTACGTCACAACGACCAATAGCATCTTGAAATTTCTCAGGAGTAAGAGTGAAAAGGGAAGCCCATCCTTGAGCACATCCACCTGGAGGCATTCAGAAAGCATAAAAAAATACCAAAATACACACCCATCTAAATATTAAGGTCACAGATAACCCCTGAATATGCCCAAAAAACAGAAACAGATTACCATATCAGCACATGTCCAGAATGAGATAAAGTGACTGAGGTAAATGAGCTGGAAGTAGACCTACACTCCATACTGGAAGATGGGCAGGCTTTGAAAATGCCTAAGAAGGAATTCAGAAAAATGATTATAAAATGTATCAAAACACTATACAATGGAGTTGGGAAAAGTAAGGAAGAAGTCAGGAAAGCGCTACAGGAACAATCAAATAATATAGATGCAGCATGGGAAACAATTCAGAACCTATAAAAGGAGATCCAAATGATTAGTAATAGAATATCAGAAATGGACAATACACTGAAAGGGCAAAGGAATAGAATTGAAGAGATAGAATCCAGAGCTAGTGAGCTAGAAGATAAATCTCTAAACACTACTAGTATAGAAGAGCAAGCACAAAAAAGGATTGAAAAAAAGTCAGAAGAAGACCTAAGATTCATCACGGACAACATGAAGAGGAATAGCTTAAGAATTATCAGCATTTCCAAAAAGGAAGAATCACACAAGTCCACAGAAGAGATAGTTGAAGAACTGCTGGAAGAAAATTTCCCTAACATCCCGAAAAGCAAAGAGATAAGCATTCAAGAAGCTCAACGAACCCCAGGAGGGCTAGACCCTAAAAGAAAATCACCAAAACATATAATAATCAAGCTTTCCTAAATCAAAGATAAGGACAGATTCCTGAGAGTAGCTAGGGAAAAGAGAAGTGTAACATACAAAGGCAAGCAAATCAGATTAAGCTTAGATTTCTCAACAGAAACCATGCAGACAAGAAGGCAATGGGGAAACAGATAAAAAACCCTGAAAGAAAAAAACTTCCAACCAAGAATCCCCTACCCAGCAAAGCTGTCAATCAAATACAAAGTGTAATCAAAACATTTCAGGATAAACAGAAGCTAAGGGATTTTTCCAAAGCCAATCCTGCAATGAAAAACATCCTAAAGGGAGTTCTGTGGACTGAGAACCAACAAGAACAGACAACAGCCAGAGAATGACGTACATGCAGCATCATCCTGAACTCAGTCAACAGATGGAAGAGTCAAGAGCAGAATAAAATTATAAGAACAAAGGATCTGGGAGGTCAGTCTATGATCAAAACAATTACAATATGAAAGAAGGTAAACACAGAGGAACAAAGATCCAGATGGTGAGAAGGTCAGGTAGATTACAGGATAAAATAGACTGTCTTAAATGGAGGAAAGAGTTAATGGAGTATAAGTTAACCACAACAGTGGGGTTGGGGTGAGGGGTTTAGTTTGGGTGTTAGGGAGGGCAATACAAGAAGGGGGAGGAGGTGGAAGATAGGGGAACACTGAGACAAGTTTGCATGGCCTAAGTGGGACAGAGGTAAATAGTGATACATGCTCAACTTTGGAATAACAGGGCTCTGTGATACAGGGATCTAGGCATAGTTTGTAGAGGGGAAATATTACTAAAATGCTTGACTATCTTATGAATATTGGTTTCCCTTGCCTACTATTGTAAAATAGACATTTGAGTGGGATAGAAAGGAATGTTGGGAAACATGATTACAACAACCTTGTAAACCAGTCTTCAGCCTATAGCTGATTGTAATACCTAAAAGGGGTTCTAGAACTTGCCCAGTTAAATAGGCCTCTTCCAAAGCCTTTGCAGAATATAGGACCTTAGGTGGAATCCTGTGTCCCATCCAGAACCTTCTGAGGTGGGACATTTCCCACTAGAAAGTACAAGCAGACCAGCCTGGAACAGCTAGAGTGACAGAAGATGCATCTTCAAAGAAAGATCATCAGGAAAAACCCAAAACAAAAATGTCAGCATGACTGGCTACTACAAGAATAAGCAAGCTGTTTATCCGGAAGCCATCAAGGCAAGCAATCAAGTTCCTTCAGGACAAACTGCCCTCTAAGATTGAAACTCAAAGCTAACACATGAGCAGGCATGTAAGCTTGCTGATGACCACATTGATCTGCTGGTGAGTGGAAGAGAGGGAAAGGCAGCAATGAAGAAATGGGCTGAGTTCAACCACAGTCCATTGACTCCAGTTGACCCAGAGATGAGAGAGGGAAGAGGAAGGGCTGGTAGGTCCTAAGTGTGGTGAGACCTGGGGACCCTTAAGCCCATGGATAAGGACATAGCCACAGAGGACTAGAGCTGAGAGTGAAGCATCCAGCTGATATGAAGTGAC